AAACCATGGCCTTAGAATATGGTTTATATGTCTCCACAAAAACAATAAATTTTAGTACTTTTCCCCCCAAAAATCCAAGTTGTCAATAACTAAATAAATCTGCTTTCTGGTGTCACTATTTGAGTGTTCTGTGCAGAATCAGTCAGCTAACTTTTGGTGTTATTGAGTACTTTGAAGAAAAAAATTAAGGCACTAAGAGCTTTTGAAGAAGAGGCCTAATTTAAAATTATGGTGAAACATTCCCAGGGCATGGAGAAATCACAAGGCCACACCAGGATAAAGATAAGAAAAGAAATCTTCCTGACGTAAATAAAATGGTTCACAAACTGTTACCTTCTACTTCTCACCCGCGTGTTTAAAAACTCTGCTGATGGTAAGATGAGAGGAATTTATGCTGATTATTAGCAAATAATCTTGCTCCTGTCTTCGGTGACCTAATATAAACGCTGTCCCAGAGAACTCAATTCCGTGGGTAGAACAATTACGAGGAACTTTAAAGCCCCCCATGGCTCTGAAATGGGTCCCGCCACTGAATTCCCTTTCCTGCTCAGTCACTCCTGCTCCAGGGTCCCTGTGGGTTGGCCTGGGTCGTGCTGAGGTAGAATAAAACATGGGCTGACTCTAATGAGCCTCTTGGACTGTAATGACCCAGCGCTCAGGAGCTGAGCCCAAGCCAAACAAAACACACAGCAGAGGCCCAGAGAGAGGTTTCACGGCAGCGTCCAGATCACTGGCCAGGACTGTGGCTTCTGACACTTTCAAAGCAAATTCAGACTAGACACCTTCATGGCAGAGGGACAACTGCAGGAACGCGACGAAGAACTGTCTGGGGCTGGATGGGGTCTCAGAGCACAGCTCTGAATTCCGAGACACCACATGCAGGGCCATCCTGGGTTCTGGAATATATATTTTCACCAGGAGCTCCTATCACTTTATATTGCTGAGTAAATTCCATGCCTTCATGAGTTATTCCTAGTTCTTATGCTTCTTTCACAAGCGAAAATGAAAGCACAGAGGGATGAAATGAGTTGAATATGATCATGTGATGTAAGGACACAGAGCAGAGGAGAATGCTATGCTGCCACTGATGTGCATGCATCAAATGTCTCCGAGAAGATGCCCCAAATCCACCCCCTTTGCACCCTCTACAAAGGAGACCTGGACAGCCCTAGCAGAGATTGGGTGGCCTGTGGCCCCTCAAAGTCTTAGATATATGTTGGCAGGGGTGGCGGGAATATTAAACAACGTCCCCAGTGTATCCGGCGTGGGAGGAAAGCCTGTTAGGATTCTGGTGATACAGGGGACACTGGGACGAGGTGAATGGCGCTATTAGAAAAGAGCCAGTCAAGTCCAGAACGAAGGACATTCTACAGACAACTGGTCTGGACTCTCGAGACAGTGACCTTCATGAAAAACAGAGTGGCCTTGGTGACGGCTGTTCCAGATTGAAGAGGCTAACGAGACATTACAAACAAGAATAAGGTGTGGGCTTTGACTGGATCCTGGGCTGTGTGTGTGTGTGTGTGTGTGGAGGGGAACAAGTAGAAAAGACACCTTTGGGATAGTTGGGAAAATGAATTTTAGATTAGATATTGGAAGATGTTATGAAGTTATTGATAGTTTCTTAGATGTGATCATTGTAGTGAGGCTGCTTAGAGAATGCCCTTAGTCTTAGGAGAAGCAGAATAAAGTATTTAGAGGTAAAGCATTGTGGTGTTTATAATTTTCTTTCAAATGACTCAGGGTGTGGGGTAGTATATATATTTGAGTATATATATTTAGAGGGAAACACAAAGCATTAGTAACAATTGGTGAATCTAAGTGGGGGCATATCGGTGTTAATTTTACTCTTCTTTCAACTCTTTTGTCAGTTTAAAATTTTTCAAAAGTTGAGAAGTAAAGAGGACAGTTTAAAAACAAAACAAAACAAAAAAAGGTGGGGGGGAAACGGAGGAGTCCTGGGCTCCATCCCACCCTGTCTCCAGTTAGCCTTCCGACTGGGAAAAGCCCGTAATGTTTCGCGTCTGCTTCCTGTCTGAGGAAGGAGGAAATGCCAGTAAACCTGTGAGGCGACCCCAATTCTGAAGTCCATGGGCATGATGGCATCTGCAGGACAGGACTTGAGTATGCCTTCCCTATCCTGCCCCTACCCCTTCCCTCCAGACACTCGCCTAAGTAACACTTTTCCTCTCCCTTCCTCTCTCTGAAATCAATAAAAACATACTTTTTTAAAAATAAACATTTTATGTAAATCCATAAAAAGTAAAAATATAAAAATCAAGGAAAAGGTACAGCTAAAGGGAGGGAGGGTCAAAGGAAGGAAAAGCTGAACACCGGTCTGCAAGCTGTAAGACATAACAAAGGGTCATGGCTGGCCTTTGATTTTAGCTCTGAGCTTCCTGGCAATGAAAACCAAGAGGGAATCTTCATAGTTCCATAGTTTTCACTGGTCACAGGGAAAATGCACTCCACTTCTTTAAAGGAAACAAAGCTATACTCGCCAGTGAAAGTCCATGCTGTTTGTATTTGTATCCTGTGCTCTACAGAGCTGGGCCACACAGAGCATTCCTTTTCCCTGCTATTTAATTCTAAGGGGATCTCTCACGTAGAGCATCAGACCAGGGGCCCTGGGAGACTCCGAGCCTCACAAATTGGCCTACAGTAAATGGGGCGATGGGTTTCATTATTCTTGCTGTGTCTACTAACACCCAGCAATCCTGAAGTCTGGGTGGGATGTCCAGCCAAATAATGATCTAAGCTCAATGATATCTGAGGGACATACCTGATCCAGAATACAATCTACCATGTCTGTGGACAGACTGTGTGCCCCTCACACATGTCTGCACATGCACCATTTCCTTCACCTGAACTTCTGATTCACAGCTACTTGCTCCAGAAAGGGCTGGAGTATGAATGCTCTCTGTGGCTTGTAAAGTGAGAGAGGATCGATGGGTGCCTCTCAGGCAGTAACCTGGCTCCAGGGGACCCCTTCTAGTGCTCAGACTCTGCAGGAGGATGCAGAGCCCACTGAGCAATAGCAGGATGGGAACAACTGGATGGAGGCTGCACGTCTCCCAGGGTTACCATCTTCGTTGTCAGCTGGGGAGACACTTGTTACTGTGTAACGGTCGCCCAAGTGGAGAGGCAAAGCTGTGCCAGGAACAGCATACTTTGAGGTGCACCCAAACCTTGGAGGCTGCCTGGCTGGTGAGGGGCAAGAATGGGGGTGGGGAAACTGGAATGAGGAAGGCGGCTCTGAGAAATGTGGGGAAGCGTCTTGTGGTTCTTCTAAGTGCCTGCTTTTCTCCTCCCCGCTAACATTATGGCTAGCATCACACAACTTGTAAAGTTCAGTGCTTTCTTCTGTAGTAAGTGCTCCGTCAAATTCTGGCATTATCATGTTTTTATTATTACAGCAGATAAAACCAGAGGCTCACGTTCTCTATGCTGACACGTGAACTGATGGAAGATGAAGATTTCTGTCCGCTCTGGGTAGAGCCTGCATCTACCTATCCATCATCATGCCCTAACTCGGGGCTGCCTTTTGGGCAGGCATGGCAAGTGATGCCTCTACCATCCAAGTTCATGCCATTACCTTGAACTTCTCTTCATAGTTCTCGAAGGCTTCCATTACCATACACACAGCCTCCATGGAGCGCTCCAGCCGGCCATCCACGCCGTTAAAGCGGTACATGCTGCCAGACACATCCACCACCAGGCGCAGACGCTTGGGTTTCTGTTGGGGGCTTCCCACCTGAGGGCGGACACAACAGAAGTCTTGTGAACCAGAAAACCATCGCTGGCTGCGGTTCTGGGCATCTCACACAGGCCCGGGGCTCAGTGCTGCACATGGCCGACCCAGCAAAGGCACCTCCAGGTTGTATTTCATTAAATGGAATTTCAAATTTGTGCTGGTAGTCGTGCCATATGGGAAAGATTTTCTTTTGGAATATACAGTCCTTTCAAGACCTGACCTAGTCTAGTAAACTGCCTTAATGCAGCTGATGCCGTCTTCTATACTCTGGGAAGATAGAAACCCCAACATGCCATTTTCATGTCATGCCTCAGACTGTTACTCCAGCAAGATGGAGCTATTGTGGAAGCCCCATGAATTTTACTTGTACCTGATGTGTAATGATCTCAAAATCATTTTCCACAGAGTCCACACACAAAAAAAGCCAGCTTCCTAAAACAGGCTCTGTGAGAGGGGTGTCACTGAATTTTCTTCAGTGCCTTTGTCTTTACTAAGCTTCCGGTCTTCTCTTCCTTCCAGTTTCTGAATTACTACTTCTCCTTACTCTCCTTGGCAGTTAAAGGCATAAAAGTAACATCTAACTGCTGTTTAGCAACAACTGTCAATTAAAATGTGAAACTCTCCTGAGTTTCAGTTTGATTTTGCACTCATGCCTGGAAATTTTCAGAATAAAAAATGAAAGCATTTTTTTTAGTTTACTTATAAGAAAAAAAAAAGGAAGAAGAAAAATTCCAGACTATTCTGTAATTATATATTTGCTGACGTGTGTGAAAACTAATGAGTAGAGTTAGTAATTTTAAGAAAATATTGTGGGTATTAGTGTAATGGTTTGAGACAAATTAAACGTATTCCTCAAACATGTGTGGAGTCAGCATGAAAGAAGAGCAGTGCCACGCATGCTTCCAGGGCCACGCACAACTTCACATGTGTCTAAACACATCTGCTGGCCACCGTGAGTCAGTAAAGACAGTGGCTGTTGACTCACACCAGTGACATAGGAGAACTCCCCAAGTTACCCAAGGATACTCTGAATAAGCTTTTAAATGGAGTAAGTGACTCCCTCTCCCTACCAGTCCCTGCTCCCCCAGCTCACAGTGGCTATTCAACAGTTCTGGTCATTCAGGGATAAAGGGAGGCACAGGGCCCACCAAGAAACTCAATGTTTCACCTTATTGCCATTGTTTTGAAAATATTTTAATATTATGACTATCCAAAGCTTTACATATATTTAAACTAGAGTTATATAAAGGAAAATCGCTCCCTTTCTAAAATATTCTTCAGTCATAGGTTGGACACAGATCTTTAAAGGAGCAGAGCAATAGAAAACCACCAAGACTACTCTAGTGTTTCCATTTGCATGAGCCTCTGGTATTCAGACTCCAAGGGTCCTCAGTTCCCTCTGGTGCCCCCTGCTCCGCATCCTGGGGGCTGATCTTCAAGGATAGCACCATCCTCTCCCTGGGCTGCTGGCGTCCAGGTGGGCTCTGCTGATGGGGGGCACCGGGTCAGAGGGTCCCTCAGTCCCTTCTGTACTGCGGCCCACGGCTCTCCCTCTTCTGAGGGCCATAGCTCCTGTCAGGCTGCCCCTCCTGGTTCTAGTGAGCTCTCGCCCTCTGGCCTTTCGGCAGTTGGGTACCACACTATCTCCTTATGATTTCCTAAACCCGACCCTTACTTTTGTTGTAAATAGTCTTATTAACTGTTCTTAAATTACTCAATTTGAGTATGCTTGTCTGGTATTTCTTGACTCATGCTGGGATCTTGAATCATATCATAAATAGTAAAATATTAATTTTTTTCCTAATTTTTTAATACAATTTCCTTGGTTGCCATATTCAGGGTTTGTGGTGTTTTGACAAGGACAGCAACTCAAGAAAGCAGCTGTTTATAGAGAAGGCCAACCTCTGTGGATCAGAGGCAACTCGATCACTGTCACTTACTTGTGGCTCCAGATCACCCCGGCGTCTGTAGATGGTTTTCTCTCCAGTCAGCCCATCAATGATCTTGGCATCATCGAGTTCTCCAGTAGCTTGGTGTCTGAGCCACTGTCTTTCTTTACCTCTAGCCTACAATGACACACACACAAATCCTTATTTTAATTAGTTCTGCAGGGTCCCTGACACACTGTATGTGTGAATAACAGGAAACACACTCGGAATCTTTTCAATAAGCAATACTTCTGCATAAAGAGTTTCATAAATGAATCAATTCCTGGTCTGCTGACAAAGAAATGCCCTTTGTGTGGATTTTTTCCTTTTTAATTGTTTTAACAAATGGAATGATAAAATGAACCCAGAGCACATCTAATGGGAAAACAGTATGCAAATGAACCCCTTGAGAAATGTACAATATCTGGAAATGCAATAGTGACACATTTCTTTTTTTTTTTAAAAAATATATTTTATTGATTTTTTATAGAGAGGAAGGGAAAGGGATAGAGAGTTAGAGACGTCGATGAGAGAGAAACATCGATCAGCTGTCTCCTGCACACTCCCCACTGGGTATGTGCCCGCAACTAAGGTACATGCCCTTGACCAGAATTGAACCTGGAACCTTTCAGTCCACAGGCTGACGCTCTATCCACTGAGCCAACCGGCCAGGGCATGATGCATTTCTTACAGACTTTTGGGCACTGTACTCCTAGAAAATTCATTAGGTAGCAGAACAATCAGTTCGAACTTGTTAACATTGTCTGCAAGCACAGGGAAAATGCAATCTTCAGAACTCTTCCTTTTGGAAAATAAATTGTTACTCAAGTTCTCTGTGACTTATAGTGCGAATGGGAACAGCCGACAACAACAGTAGTGAACATTCTGTGCCCCACGTCTCGCTGACCATCTATATTCAGAAATCTAATGGTATTTCCACACAATATTTTCCCACAATAACTTACAACTATGCCAGGTGGATTAAGATGATAGTTAAATGATAAAGGATTATAATGTCTTGTTCAAGGTCTAGGATTATAACAGCCAGGAATTGTATTTATATTAAGTGGGAAGAATAGCCAAATTACTTTAATTCATGCGAACTACAGTAGTAGTTAAGGTCATGTGCTCTATCTACAATCAGACAGCCTGGTTCTAATCCTCCCTTCACCGTGATCAGATATATGACCTCAAACAAGTTACTTAACCAGAAGGCATTTCAGTGTCATCATTTCTAAAATGAAAAGAACTAGTTTCTACTTTAATGAGTTATTTGCTAAATGAGCTACTACATGGAATCAGTTGAGAAAGAGCCTGGCAATCTATGTTAGCTGGTATCATCATCATCATCATCATCATCATCATCATATCACTGTTTCATCTAAGGTGGCAGTGCGACAGCATTGTCATTGAAAATACAAAGCCATGCTTCAGGTAGCCAGTATCTATTTTAGGGGCTTCCTATTACATACAAAGTACTAAAATAGTGTTGAGATCTCTTCATCGACACACTGATGACACAACTATTACTTTCCTCCCGAAATGTAATATGTACCAAATTTCATCTTACTAAAAAAAAAAAAATTATCAAGAGAATAAAAAGACAAGCCACAGACTGGGAGAAAATATTTCCAAAGGACATAACTGATAAAAAACTGTTAATCCAAAATATACAAAGAACTCTTAAAACTCAACAATAAGAAAATGAACAACTTGATAAAAAAAAATGGGGAAATGATCTGAAGAGACACCTTACGAAAGAAAATATACAGATGGCAAAGAAGCATAGGAAAAGACTAGAGGCCCAGTGTACGAATCCGTGCACGGGTGGGGTCCCTAGGTCCAATGCCTGCAGTCCAATGCCACCTGCCACTCCTGCCTACTGCTCCTGCTCATCCTGGCCCCGCTGCACCTGCTGTGGGCTTGCGCCCAGTCAGTCCGGATTGGGAGAGGCTTGTGTCACTGCAGCAGTGCTTGCCAGCCGTGAGTCCTGCCTCTGGCATCTGTCCCAAGTAGGGTGGGGAGGTGGGGGGGACATGATCAGCCCTCTGGGCAGGCAGTGGGATACCCTTGCTGGCCCAGGATTGAGATCCGTCCCACTGACATTCGCGCCGGCTGCTGAGAGCTACCTGGCGGCCACTTTTATATCGTTTCTTCCTTGCAGAGCATCTAGGGAGGGGAAGCAGCTGCAATGCCCAAAGCCGACTTCCAGGAGGCTAGCGGCATTGTCGGGATTGTGCTGGTGGCGCCGGTTCGTCAGTGCCTGGCCTGTTCTCTCGAGATTGGACCTACAGGACTACTGAGGGAGTGAGAGGGAGTGAAGGGCTGCCGCCAGGCTGGTTGACCACCTGGATGGGTTGGTCAGCTCAGTGGTGCTCCCGCTGTAGGAGCGCACTGACCACCAAGGGGTACCTCCTGCATTGAGTGTCTGCCCTCTGGTGGTCAGTGTGCATCATAGTGACCTGTTATTCCACTGTTGGGTTGATTTGCATATTAGCCTTTTATTATATAGGAGGATTGAACAAACTGATCTAACTTGCCCATCTCAGTTTACTTATCCCCTAACCACTCCCTGTCTGCCTGATTACCCCCTAACCACTCCCTGCCAGCCTGGTCATCCCTAATTGCCCTCCCCTGCAGGTCTGGTCCCCCCCAACTGCCCTCCCCTGCAGGCCTGGTCACCCCCAACTGCCCTCTCTGGCTGGCCCAATCACCCCCAACTGCCCTCCCCTGCTGGCCTGTTTGCCCCCAACTGCCCTCCCTTGCTGGCCATCTTGTGACCACATGGGGGCAGCCATCTTGTGACCACATGGGCGGCCATCTTGTGTGATGGCATGATGGTCAATTTGCATATCACCTCTTTATTATATAGGATGCTTAACATCATTTGTCATTAGGGAACTGCAACAAGAATCAGATACCACTACACATGTATTAGAATGGTCAAAATCCAAAACACTGCAATACCAAATGCAGGCAAGAATGTGGAGCAACAGGAACTCTCATTCATTGTTGGTGGGAATGCAAAATGCTACAGCCACTTTCAAAGACAGTTTGGCAGTTTCTTACAAAACCAAACATATTCTTATCATACAACCCAGTAACTGTTCTCCTTGAAACTTGATGTCTACACAAAAACGTCATATAGATGTTTATAGAGCTTTATTCATAACTGTCAAAACTTGGAAGCAACTAAGATGCCTTTCAGTAGGCGAATGGATAAGTCCTGACAATGGAATATTATTCAGCTCTAAAATGAAATGATCGCTCAAGCCATGAAATGACACTGAAGAAACTTAAATGCATATTATTAAGTGAAAGAAGCCAATCTGGAAAAGCTACATATTGTAGGAGTCTACCTATATGATATTCCAGGAAAAGAAAAATTATGGAGACAGTATAAAGATCAACAGTTGCCAGGGGTGGGGGGAAGGATGAATGGATGGAGCACAGAGGACTTTTAGGGCAGTGCAATACTCTGTATGATACTATAATGATGAATACATGTCATTATACATTTGTCCAAATCCATAGAATGTACACCACCAAGAGTGAACCATAATGTAAACTATGGACTTTGGGTGATAATGAGTCAATTTAGGCTCATCAATTGTAACAACTGTCCTATTCTATTGGGGTATGTTGATAATGTGGGAGGCTATGCCTGTGTGGGGGTGTGGGGCAGGAGATAAATATAAATTCTCTGTACTATATGCTCATTTTTTCTGTGAATCTAAAATTGGTCTAAAAAGGAAGTCTGTTTTTTAAAAATCTAGTTATAAATATAACAATAACTTTATTGTGCAGAATCTATTTTTGTGTCAGGAATGCAGTGATTAAGGCAAAGAGAGGATCATGGTAGAAAAAGGGTCAGATTAGGATTCAGCATATGAGAATTCTAGTCTTGGCTCCCTTTGGGAAATTAATGAGATTCTCTGGGTCTCAACTGTCCCATCTTCAAAATGAGGGGCTGCTGTCAGTGAATGTGTGATTGAAGTGTAGCAGTCTATATTTAATTAGTAATGAAAATCACCTGGATTCAGAGAAGGATTTCCACATTATTTTTTTTAACCCTTTGCCGTTTGCTAATTATACCACAATGGTAAGCACAGCAATATTTTATCAAATAACTGGGAATTGGCTCCAATTTATACGCTTCTAAAAATAAATTAAGACCCTAGCTGGTTTGGCTCAGTGGATAGAGTGTTGGCCTGCGGACTGAAGGGTTCCAGGTTCGATTCCGGTCAAGGGCACCTGTCTGGGTTGTGAGCTCGATCCCCAGTAGGGGGTGTGCAGGAGGCACCGGATCAATGATTCTCTCTCATCATTGATGTTTCTCTCTCTCTCTCTCTCTCTCTCTCTCTCTCTCTCTCTCTCTCTCTCTCTCTCTCCCTCTACCTTTCTCTCTGAAATCAATAAAAATATATTAAAAAATAAATTAAGGATGCTAAATACTTTATTTTTCAGTAAGTAAACCTATTCCTCAATAATAGATATAAGTGAATTATCTGCTAAATGCAACAAATTATGGGGAAAAGAATTTCTTAGAAAGTAGTTCATTCCGTGTTTATTTTGACATTCATATTAATGCAGTTTATTTTAAGCTAGTTTGCTATTGATAAGCATTTTGAGAGACTTTGGTGGAAAATTAGTTACAGGAAATTAGCTTTTGCTTTCCAAACTTCATCTTTCTGTCCTAACATCCACATTCAAAAGAAAGCACAAAACACCTAGGACCCAGCAGACATTTCATTATCTGGAGTTTTGGGGATCCTGAAACCACCTCACCAGCTGTGCCAGCTGCTTAGCAATTCATATTGTTTTCCAAATCAGGGTAGAGCCAGAACTAAGAAATATTAAGAAAAATTATACTAGAAACACTTAGGGCATTAGAATTTTTAAAATAGTTCATTATTATGATTATTTTTTTCCACACCCAAGGATATGCTCACTGATTTTAGAGAAGAAGGTGGCGGGGGCGGGGGGTGGGAGCTGTGAGAGAGGAACACTGATCAGTTGCCTCCTATATGTGTATGCATCCCAAGGGGGTATCCAACTGGACACCTAGGTATATGCCCTGACCCAGAATTGAACTTGCATCTTTTTGGTGTATGGGATGGTTCTCCAACAATTGAGTC